AAATTTTACTATTTTAGGTTATGAAACCTTTATCTAAAGCATTAGACGTTTTACAAGGAGATAAGTCTGTATGCTTGGGATTTCTTCTCCCAACAATTAATGCTGTTCACAAATCTTTAAACGGATTAAACAATAATATTGTCTTTTGCAAACCTCTTATTCTTGCATTGAAACGAGGGTTAAATAAAAGGTAAAACATTGTATACATATTTAATATTAATTCATATCATGAATATACAAATATTGAAATATTTTAATTTTTTTTTATTATGATTAATGATTTATTTAAATTTTAAATAATTTCCTTATGTCATAAAACTGAAAAAATATAGGAGTTAATTTTAATTTTTTATTTAATAACATTTTTAACATTTTTAACATTGTAATTAATGTCATTATAATTGTCAGTGTGTACTGCTTGTGATGTTGTAATTCGACTCTTCCTTTATTTGCTCAATAAATTATTCTAGTTTATACCCTAAATTATAGGTACTACTGTACTATTTTCTAGTGGTTTGTGTTAAAGCTAACCAAGATAAAGAGAAAATATCAGCCCTACTAAAAGCATATTAATTTTTTAAAATAACATAAAGTATTTTTTTTTATTTTATAGGTTTAATAATTATTTCATGTCAAAATCATGTCAGGTAGCTGCTACTTTAGTTCCTAAATTTAAACTAAATTGGACAGCTAATGAAAATAGAGATGAAATAAAACAACATCTTATAGAAATTGTAACTGACAATACTACTATAAATATATCGAGTTCTCAAGAATCAAATCAATCATCCATATCTGCTACTGAACAGTTTGAAAATAGTGATTCAGAAGATGATTTTCTCAGCTTTAGAGAAAATGAAATTATCAGTGAAAACAGTAGCACCGAATTACTTATTAATAATTATTTGTCAAATTCAAATTTAACACAGCCTTGCGATTTACCATTAGCATTAAAAGAAGCATATATTAAATACAATACAGCAGTTCCATCATCGGCACATGTTGAACGCCTATTTAGTGCTGGAGGGCAACTATATGATAAAAGAAGGGGATCTATGTGTGATAAAAATTTTGAGATGTCTCTTCTACTGAAGTTCAATAAGTATTTTGATGATTAATTATGTATCTATATCTATCTATTTTAATTTCTATTAACTATTAAGTGTTAATACATGATATATAATTATTATAATATATATCTATATATGCAGATTGTATACATACCATTATATATACAATTATTAACAAGCAGATCATATAAATATATCATCATCATAATTTTATTTTCTGTGAAACTTTTAAATAATATATTTTTATTTGATTTGTTACTATCTTTTTTTTTTCTTTTAAATATTTAATACCTACCTATATTGTGTCTACAAGATAGTTTTAGACTTAAGCTATGTAAAATATATTTTATTATATGTATACAATTTAAATGTATAATTTAAAATAAAGTTTGTAATATTACCTATTTTGTTATTATAATTATTAATTTTAAAAATAATGAACAATTAATACTTATTAATTTATTATACTATACTATACTAATATTATGACGTGAACTATTGTAGGAATATAAATTGCTGGTACAGATTTTATTTTATACGTTATAACTTATTAGTATGCTAACAAACTTTGTGATGTTACCTTTTGGAACACATAAAACAATAAAAGTTCATTGTTCAATAAAAGTTCAATAGTGACATGAACAATTATAGGTACCAATTTAGATTTTACCTTTATGAAAACAAGAAATATTTTTTAACTAACTTAACTTGAGTTAAAAAGTTAATATTAAATGTTGGTTAACTCTTAACTTAATTCAATTGATAGAACATTTTGGATTAACTTTTAACTATTAACTTGATTTAGATTTTAATTTAACTTAACTTAACTGAGTTAAAAATATCGTTAACTTGCCCAGCCTTGGTTGGATCACTGTCACCAGCACTTCTGGCGCCGTTGGTCGACGGAGTACCTCCATACGTTACAAGAACGAGGAAAGTGGACACGCGATCAACCAAATATTGAAGTCGGACAGATGGTCACCATCAGGGACAGCCTAGCCCCTCCCTTGGAGTGGCGACTTGGGCGGGTGCTCGAGGTGTTACCGGGTACGGATGGTGTGGTAAGAGTTGTGCGCGTTCTGACTTCGCGCGGTATAATCACTCGTCCTGCAGCGAAGCTCGTTTTATTACCTGGTAATGGTACAGGTCCCCTTATTTAATTATGTTTAATTGCCATATGTCCTATTATTTTGTATTTTTTTTTTTGCAATTATTACTCATTGCATTCTATTGAATTATTAACCATTTATTATTATGTTATTATGTCAAATTATTATTCACCTTACCTGTTGGTTTGCGTTATTTATTTTTTTGTAATATTTATTCGTGACCCTCTTGTCACTTGTTAACGTGCTTAACGTTACCAATTATTATTATATTATCTATTGTGTCCCTTTTTACATTTTGGTACAATTGTTATTTTTATGATATATTTAATTTGTCTTTGTTTTATTTACATTTATATTTTTGTTATTTTTCGGCCTTTAACATTATATACAATAGGTACAAGTATCGGCGGCGTTCAAAATTGATGTGATGCTCCCATGGGGGAGTATGTTCGAACTTGCCGCCGTTTTCGTCGCGACATTTAGAAACCGGTCCGCGAGACAGCGCAACGCGCGGCCCACGGACGCCGGACGCCGGCCGAGTCGCCGCCGGCGACTTAGAACTTGTCTTTGCCCTACGCTCTACGCGAGCAGACCGTGCGTGCTTCGCGTCCGGCCGTTGTTTTGTGCCGTTTATCGACAGCCGCATGTGTGCGAATTATCCGCGCATATTTTTTAAATACCTAGTTGCGTATTGTTATTTCGCGCTCGCGCGATTATCGTGTTTTCGACGCCGTTGTCGTGTTCGACGTTGCATCGATTACCGTCGCCTTGGTCCGTTGCACGCCCACGATTCGTCGTCACGTGTTTATCGCCGACGTTCGCGCTCAATATTAGTTTGTATCGAATCATTAATCAAGTTGTCGTTGATCTTCGACGGGCCATAATAATTCGCGTCGCGATCGGCAACGCGTATATTGTCTACCGTCGATATTATTATTGCGCGTGTTCCGCGCTCGACGACGCTATCAGTGCCGGGATTACGTCCTTTGCACCTTACGTAATCCAGTCAGTTACGTAATCCGACCGCTTGCATCCGCAGCTATCGACGTCGCCGCTGCCAACAGCCGCCGCTCCCCGTTCACCTGCGTGTGTCACATAGCCGCATCAGCTGTTGCAGCCGCAGCCGCCGCCGCCGCCGATACCCCGCCCCGCCGCGGCGTATGTGCCGATCGGTAATATATATC